CCTCTTCCCCTCTTTCCTCCTCACCTAGGAGGCCGAGTTCCAGGCCCCTCCACTCTAAGGAATCTGTACAACGAAGTTCCCAGTCCTTCCTCCCTAATGGACCCAAGAACCCAACTATATCGCCCGTTGCCCAGGCAACGGTGGCCTGTCATAGTCAGAACTACAGCTCCCATGATGCTTGGGGACTCCCAAGAGTCGCGTTTGAGGGGACCCTGCTCCAGTAGTTGCCGGGTTTTCTTCCTTCGGGCGTGACGCAGTCTCGGCTATCCCCGACATTGCTGCCTCACGCCCACTTTCAGAATTTAACTCCGACTTCTTCGGTCTCATAGGGGACATCTTCGAAAGCTTCTCCTCCCATCCTCCCCTCATCCTGCCCTTGGGCAGCTCGCGCCTCAGCCTCACCGGTCCTGTGACGGACGACGCCCTGCACCGTGAACTGCGCAGGCTCCGCCGCCTCCTCTGGGATCTTGAGCAGCAGGAACTGCCGGCCAATCACCGCCACGGACCTCCCGTGGCCACGCCTCCTTGAAAACCAATAGCAAACGAGCGCGCGAACCTTGAAAATTCATCGGCTTCTCTAGAGTCTAGAGCCTGTCTGAGCGCAGAGCTTTCTGGGAGTTGTAGTTTTTCCCCGCGTGGGATGCTGGGAGTTTGAGTTTTGGGGTAGTAGAGGATGGGACCGTGGGAAGATGGGTTTGGGAATTTGAGTGCCAGGAGCAATAAAGGTATCTGTGGTATTGGCAATGCCTCTATTGTTAAGACTCGGGAGCGGTAGTGATGATTTTCTGTGGAATAAGGCATCAGGGCCCTTGCCTGGAGCATTGGGCTCCTGCCGAGTCCTCCGTGATATTTATAGCCACGGCCTCAGCTTGCCCTCTTGCATGTAATCCAATCCAGGAGCACTGTGGCCTCCCACGCATCTCAGGACAGAGGCCTAAACTTGTTCTGCCAAAGATCACGCCCTCAGTCCTGCCAGTGGGAAATAGCCAGCGCTCCCTTCGACCTCCCATAGCCCATACTCCAGCCTCCTCCCTCAGACCCAGGAGTCTGGGTTCCCAAGCCCCTTCTGGACCTTTCTGCCTGTCGGGCACACTGATGAGTCTCAACGTTTCTTGTCCCTGTTCTGGAATCCCTCTTCCCTCACATCCAAAAGTATGGGCCCGCAGCCCACTCCTTCCTCGGGCCCAGGAGTCCAAGCCTCTGCCTCTTTTTCTTCAAACGCAGGAATTCAGGTCTCCAGCCCCCTCCTCCCTCAGACCCAGGAGTTCGGGGCTTCAGTTTGAACTTTTCCCTCCCCTGAATCCGACTCTGGCTGCTGCGTCAGGGAAAAAGTAAGCGACAGGTGGCACCTGCGTATAGGGACGGGGCACGACCACCTGCCGCTGCTGCTCATCTTGAGCCTCTCTCCTGGCACCTGCTTCTGTCAATCCTCCCGCCGCTGCCCCTTTCGACCCCGCAGCCCCAGGACTTGGAGGAGGAGCGAGCCGGGAACCCCGACTTCCGCCCCGCCCCAGGCCCTCCCAGTCCGTGCTCCCGCCCCTTCTCAGGATGCCAGGAGGGGCTCCTGTCTCCCCCCGCCCCTCTCCATCGCTCCCGACACGCCCCCAAAAGGGGGGTACGAGGCGGTCCCAGGCTGGTAGGGCAGAACCTGCTGCCTCCAGCCTTGACTGCGGGACTCAACCCGCTCTAGAGCACAGCTGAGCCGAGCCCACCTGGTGAGAAGCCCCTGGGGTGGGGGGGGTGGGAGGGGAACCCGCCTTAACTCTTCTGTCACCTCTCTGATCCTAGTCCCTTCCCCACAGACCGTGGCGGCTGACACCCACCCACGCCCTTCTCAAATGCAGGTGGCAGAGACCCTTCCATTCCCCAGGGACCTATCGGGTCCCCTTTCCCCTCTTGATCGAGGCTGTTGGATTCTAGGCCCCTTAGAGTATTGAGTTCCTCCCCTTCACCCCCTTTTCCTCCCTCTCCTTTCATAGACCTGGGGTCCAGGCCACCAGTGCCCTCCTTCTTAGGACCCAGGAGTCCCAGATCTGAGGTCCTCCCTCCCCCAGACTCCAGGAGTTGGGGCCCTCAGCGCGTCCTCCCTCACACCCAGGAGTCTGGGCACCCAGCCCCCTCCTCCCCCAGGATCCAGAAGTTATGGCCCAAGGCCGCTCCCATCTCTAAGTTCCTCAGGCCCTTTCCCTGCTGCGTTCACATGCAAGGGACGCCTCCTGACCTCCACTCTGACCCTGCCTCCTGTGGGGGCCCTGCTCTATGTAAAGGAGGCCCCAGCAAAGGGGTGGAGTTGTGGTTGACAGTGAGTGTGCAAATGGCTGGTGCAATGCTCACGTGAATAGTGGGGAATGGGCGGCTAGGGGTGGGTGTGCAGAGGACCAGGTACTGCAAAGGAACAGGGGCTTAAATTGACACCTGTGCAAATCGGAGGAGCACCCAGTGTGGAACTGTGGGCAAGGGGACAATGAGCTCTCAAGCCTTGAAAGCAAAGGTTGCATTTCAAGTCCCAGCGCAGGTGAAAAGTGTGCAAGTGGGTACACCTGGAGGTAAAGTCCTGAGTAGGCAGAGCATACTTGAGTGTGCAAGTGAGTCTGCTTCTGTGGTTGGGTGGGTGCGAAGACACCAGTAACCAGAGCAAGGAGTGTGCAAGAGTGCATGTGTACAAAGAAATGTGCAAAGAGAGATCCTTGCTCCACAACTGGGGGCCAAATTCTGAATGCGTTAACGTGGCTGGGTGTGTGCCGAGACAGTGAGCCTAGGATGAAGAGTGGCAAAGGGTACCAGTGCACGAAAGTGCTGTAGATGCAAAACTAGAGCCCAGGGAAATGCGTGTTTGAAGGTGGGTGTGCAAAGGGGGCGACTGAGGGGAGGCCCAGAGGTAGTGCAGAAGGGAGTGGGTGTGTGCAAAACGGGGTGCGGGGATGAAAGGGGGCGAGGTACAAACACTAAGATGGTGATTGGGCGGAGGATGGGGTGGGCATCGGCTGACGAAGGGGGCAGGTGGAGGAGTTGGGGGCAGGGCTGCCTCCTGCCCGCACCGCTGGCTGGCTCCTGGCCCCAGAACGGCTCTGGCCTTCGGCGCTGTGCTGGCAGGGAACAAGCAGGAGGCCCTGGAAGGGAGCAGGCTGCCCGCCCACCCGCCTGCACGGGGTGTGTAAGGGGGCTGGGCACACGTGTCCCGCCAACAACTGCAGCTCACACTCGCCTGCCAGGCCAGGCTCTTGGACACTCCCTTCCCGCCTTTCTCTCCCACCTCCCTCCACAGTCCTCCAGCTTCGGATCCACAGACGCTATCAGGACACGAGTAAGTGTGGGCTCTGAAAGGGAGGGGATGGCGGCCCTACTCCCTTGGGGCACCCTGGAGTGCAGCTGCCACACATCTTGCTTCAGTTCCTGAGCCTCAGTCCCTATGCCCCAGGGTACATTGCAATCCCATCCTGCCCTTCCCCAGTACCCAGGAGTACAGATCCCTGGCTGCCCCACCCCTAGGAGCTTTTCTTCCTGCTCTTGGGCTTTTCCCACTCCAATGAAATGCATGAATTCAGATCCTGTTTCTTTGGAGAAGACAGGCATCCCACACCCCACACTTGGCACACATGCAAATCTCAGGATGTGGCTTTCAGCTTCTCTCTCTCCCCAGGAACCAGGAGTGCTGGTCCCACCCCTGTCCCAGCAAAACCCCAGGAATCTGTGATACTCAGCTACCACACCCCTTGGTGACTGGGGATGAGATTCCTGCCTTTCTTCAGAATGTAAAATTCTGGGTCCTGGGGAAGGGCAGCACTTCTGCCCTTAGATCCAGGAGTCCAGACAACCAGCTCCCGCCACTTGGGTTTCACTCCCTGGCTCTGTCCTCTTGCACCCGGGGGGGCTGGGGCCTCCAGGGTCCTCCTTCCCATGCAGCCTTGTTTCTCCCTGCCTGGCTTGCTGCCTGCAGGCCTCTCAGGGTCCTTTGCTGCCTCTCCATTCTCGGATCCAGATCCATGGATCTCAGCTGCAGACCCGGCTCTGGCTCCGGCCCCAGCCTCACCCTCGAGCCTAGCGCCTTTCCTCTTCAGCCCTGGGGTCCTTCTCCCTGAGCCAAAACACTACCCTTGGCGGTCCCTGAAGAAGGTGAGTCTCGATCAGAGTGAAGGGAAGTCCCCCTGAGAGTCTAGCCTTGGTCCTCCTTACTGCTGCCCAGTTTGCTCCTCTCTGATGGGGACGAGCTGACCCCATTACTTTTCATGGGGCTCTGGGGCAGGAAAGTGGGAATGGAGCAGAAGCGTTTGACATCATACCTGCTTTTTCAGGAGTCTCCCAAGATCTCCCAACATTGGAGGGAGCCCAAGCCCAAGAAGAACTTGACATACCACCAGTACATGCCCCCAGAACCGAGACAGGGGTCCAGGGCAGACCCCCAGGCTGAAGGTTCGGCCTTGGGTCCCCCTGGACCACCTCCATGGGAATGGACAAACTCACAGCAGCCACCTCCTAGGTATGACCCCTGTTTTTGTTCTCTGGGAAGTTCAGGCCCCCAGCTCCCTCCTCCCCCAGGACGCAAGAGTCCAAATCCCCGGCCCGACCTCATCCCCGAGAGCCTGAGCCACCTCCTCCCCACCCCCACCCGCTGCTGGGGTTCCTCTTAGGCACCGGAACTAGCCTCCTCAGTTCTCTCGGAACTTCAGAACTCAGGTCCCTTGCTTTCCTGCATCTTCATGAGCCCCTGTCTTTGAGGACTCCAGAATGCCTTTTCTCTCTGCTCCTTCTAACCTGTTTTCCCTTCACAACTCTCACCAGGATGAAGCTCAGTCCCCTCACTCCCTCCCCACCAGGAGTCCCCAGCCCTTCGCCCTCTCCACACAAGTTGGAACTTCAGACTCTCAAACTGGAGGAGCTGACGGTGAGTTTGGGGAGTAGCTCCCCAGGCTGGCCCTCTCGCTCAGTGGGGACCCAGAAGTCTAACCTTGCAGCCTCTGCTCCATTGGAGATCCAGAACCTAGGGTCCCCAGTCCCTCCTCTCTCGGTTTCCAAATGTCCAGCTCCAACCCCCCCTCCCCCCCACCTGCGCCCCGGAGCCCGCCTAGCACGGCCTCTTTCCGCCTCCCTCCCTAGGTCTCAGAGCTCCGGCAGCAGCTGCGCCTGCGGGGCCTCCCAGTGTCTGGAACCAAGTCGATGCTCCTGGAGCGCATGCGCGGCGGCGCCCCGCCCCGCGAGCGGCCGAAGCCGCGGCGCGAGGAAGGTCCGGCGGGTGCTCCCTGGCCTCGCTTCAGGCGCAAGGCTTTGGGAGCCGCTGGGAGGCCGGGCTCGGTGAGAGCGGGACTACGCGCGTGGACCAATGAGGAGAAGACAAAGCGGGACGGGGCGGGAAGTCGAGAAAAGAATAGCCAATAAAGTGTGGGGGGCGCGGTTAAGCGCAAACCGGGAGGATCTTAAGGGAAGGGAAGCCAATGAAAGAATAGGGGGCGAAGCCGAAGGGAGGCATGGGTGAGTGAAGGCCCGGGCCGAGACCAAGAGGTGGAGCCACAGGTAGCGAGCGGATAGGGTTGCTCCCAGTGGGCACGGCTTATAGGAACTCGCCCTCTTCGCCGTTATAGTTGAAGCCGAGTCCAACATCTCACTCGCTGCCCCCTCCACGTGCCACGGAAACCCTTGTGACGGCTCCGGCTCCTGTTCCGGCTCCGGCTGCATCGGCGGCTCAGGCTCCAGCTCCAGCTCCAGCTGCAGTACCGATCCCTTCTTCAGCAGCAGCCTCGACAGCCCTGACACTGGAGGAGGAGCTGCAGGAAGCGATCCGCAGAGCGCAGGTGAGAGGGAGCGGGCCTAGGGTCTCAGTCAGGATCAGGCTGGAGTCCCAGGTTCACGCCAGTTCTGCCCGTCCACAGTTGCTTCCGAACCGGGGCATCAGTGACATCCTGGAGGATCATGTGGAGCCTGAGGGTAAGAGCCGAAGTCCTAGATTTGGGGGGAAAGGGGGCCGAGGTTCTGGGCTTCTGTGTTCGCGGGAGGAATAGGTTGGTGTCTGGACTCCTGAGTCCTAGGGAGGAATGCGCTGGGGGCCTAGACTCCTGGAAAGGACGAATAGGGAGCTGGGTTCCGGATCCCTGCCTTCCTAAGCTCACACTTCATTCCTTCCCCTACAGACATGCTGCCCCCCATCCCCCTGGACTTCCCCGGCTCCTTCGACTTGCTGTCCCCCTCCCCGGACTCTGAAGGCCTCTCATCTGTCTTCTCTTCCTCGCTCCCATCCCCCACGAACTCCCCGTCCCCCTCTCCCAGGGGCCCCACCGACTCCTTGGATTGGCTGGAGGCTCTGAGTGGGGGTCCCCCACTGGGCTGTGGCCCCCCAGCCCCCAGCATTTTCTCTGCTGACTTATCTGATTCCAGTGGCACCAGGCTGTGGGACCTGCTGGAAGATCCATGGTGATGGATTTTGGGGTTTCCAGGGACTGTGAACTGGTGGGGATGGAGAGGCCACAGAGATAGACTCCCTGAGGGAGGGGTTGGAACAACCAGCAGAATCCCTCCCACCACAGACACAAAATCAGAGACAACTCTCATGCCCACCTGGCCCCTGCACTGCTGCTGACATGCCAACCTCCTGGCTTCTGCCTGACCTCCATGTGATCCCCTCCATGGTTGTGTGGTTGGGGGCAAAGAGGTTTCATTTGCTGCTGACCAGGGCAAAACAAGCTGCTTGCTGCTTCCCTCAGAGACCTCATGGATGTTTTTGTTCCCACTTTCAACCCCCCATCCCACTGACTAGATGGATGCCTGTTGCTGGGGAGTCTGGAAGGTGGTCTGTGCTTTTTGGATGCAGGAGAGGGACAGGGAAGAGTAGGGAGAGAGAATAGTCTGCCAGACCCTTAGCTTCTGATTGGAGATGAGAAAAATCAGATGTGTCACATCTGAGGTCAGATTCTCTCAGAAGCAGAGTCTGAGACAAGATTTGTGTATCCATGACTTAGGAAAGAAATGCTCCCAGGAGAAACCAGTGAAGGAATAGATGAAACAGGACAGTGACGGGGGAGAAGACTAGCTAGAATGTGATTTCAGGTGAAGTCCCAGCGTCAGCCTGATCCTGTGAGGAGCTCTGCAGGATAAATTAAGTGGTAGAGTCTTTCCCACCTTGAGACAAAGGGAACTGGGCCTTTGAGACAAAGGGAGATCCCTGTTTGGGTTTATTATTGCTGAATAACAAACCACCCCAAAATTTAGAATCTTAATTACTGTCTGTGATTGTTCACAATTCCATGGGTTTACTGGGCTCAGTGAGGCACCATATAATGTCAACTAAAGCTCCAGTCATCTTAGGGCCCAGCTGGGCTGGAATATCCAAGATGGCGCACTCAGGTGCCTCTGGCACCTTGGCAGGGATGGCTAATAGGCTTGACCCTACTGGGCTCTGGGATATCTGGACTTCTCTCATTCTGGGTGTGGTCTCAGTGCTCTCCCTCTCCATGTGGTTCCTTTCTCCAGCAGGTAGCTGGACCCCTCACATGGTAGCTCAGGGTCCCCCAAAGTGAGCATTCCTAGGGGAGGAAGCAAAAACTTCCACTCTCTTAAAGACTAAGCTTTGAACTGGCATGTCACTTCCACCACATTTTATTGGTTAGTGCAAGTCAAGGTAGCCCAGGCTGAAAATGGGAGAAGACTACACAAATGTATGAGTATCGGGGGCATGGTCACTGGGCATTGTCTTTGGAGACCTGCCACTGCACCCCTCTAGGCAGTCATGGGCCACAGGTCACAAGAAGGGGGCAGGATATAAACTCCAGGCACCTCAAGCTCAAGGGCAGTCTTGGGAACAGGGTTGCAGGGTAAGCCCTTAGCAGCAAACTGTTTTAAAATATAGGTTTATTATCATTCAGGTATGGTGAGGCCAATAGATTGGGAGACAATTGCCATTGAAAAGATAGTTTGTTATTTTCACAGATCCCAAAGGAAGGGGGCATGCCAAGCTATGCAGGGCGCCAGGGTTGGTCAGGAGTTAGAGGGGAAGAGGAGAAACTTGGACAAGAGTCTTTCCTGTGGTTTCTTTGGGAAGGAACAGATGAGGCAGGGTAAGCTTAGGATTGTCTAGTTTGAATAATTTCAGCAGGCTCTGGGGTGTAAGGGTTGTCCCCAGTTGCCTGCAACTTGGCCCTGGGGTGATTAGGCAGATGAATAGTGGCCTGAAGTATAGAATGGCATAAAGGAGGTGGTTGGGGGTATGGGCTCTGGGTTGGTTGCTTTGCATGTGAAAGGCATACTTACATGTCAGTCCTTTATTACCTCTAGGAATTGGCTAGCCCTGGGAGGGGCAGTCCCTCCAGTGTCAGCAAGGCCCCAGATGTCAAAGCACCAGAAATACAGAAATAAAAAGCCATGATTAATGCATAAAGCACAAAGAAGCCGGGTGTTGGGTGCACAGAACTGGTAAGAGGAATCTGAGGGGACCTGGGCAGGCTGCCAACAGTGTCCACTACAGGTGGGAATGTACAGTGAATTAGTTATGTGTTACAGAACCTAGAACCAGTGACTTCCCTTGGCTTGCTGTCATGTCAGTTTCCTTATTTGTACCTACAGCCAAGTGTGGCTGAGAGAGTTCACTGAGAATGTCCATGAACTGGACCTGGCATGTGACATGTGATGATAAACATTAATCACCATTATTAGCTGCCGATCGACAATTCTAGTGCCTAGAAGTGTGTAAACTCTGGTGAACACTGAAGACCCAAGATAAAAATGGAAGGGAACAAATGCTCGTTACCATGAGGCAAAGGGAATCTTTGATGTCTTCCAAACCAATCAGGTAGAATTTGTCCTCCTTACTTTCCAGATGAATTAATTAAAGATCAGAGAAGGGGAGCGACCTGCTCAGTGTCACACAGACTGGAGGTGTTGGAGTAGGGTTTTTGTGGGGTTTTTTTTTTGTGGTACGCGGGCCTCTCACTGTTGTGGCCTCTCCTGTTGCGGAGCACAGGCTCCGGACGCGCAGGCTCAGCTGCCATGGCTCACGCTCCGCGGCCCAGCCGCTCCGCGGCATGTGGGATCTTCCCGGACCGGGACACGAACCCGTGTCCCCTGCATCGGCAGGCGGACTCTCAACCACTGCGCCACCAGAGAAGCCCCTGGAGTAGGGTTTTAAATCAGATTAATATGTCTACAGCCTGTGCCCTCAGGGTTGAAAAATCAAAGAACCTCAATCTCTGCTCTGGTGAAGCTCAGACATTTGCAAAGAGAGTCCCAAGGCAGGGTGATAGGTATTTTCATGGCAATGGTACAAGGAATAAGAGGGGCCTGACTCCTAGAAAGTGACCAGAAGCTGCAGGGGAATGGGACAGGGTGGTTAGAGAAAATATTTTTGCAAAGACTCAAAGGGTGGGGAGAAGCTGGTCAGAGGAACCTCTTGGAAGACAGCATCCTTGTAGAGGGAAAAGAACATGCAAAGGCTTGAAGGTGTGAAGGGCGCTGCCACCTGGGGAACCTTGTGAGGTCAGGGTTCCTGGAATAAAAGGTGGGTGTTGGTGCTGTGGCAGAATTCATGGCTGAAGAGGTGGGTGGCGGCTGAGTCCTATAGGACCCTTCACATCAGGATGAAAATTGGTGGGAAAAGGGTACAGTCAGCCCTGGAAAGATCAGACGGGGTCTGGCAGGTCTTCCTCTGTCTCTCTCTCCCTTCTGACACTTCCATGCCTATACCCCTATATCAGTCTGTTCCCACCTCTGCCTGCCTCTGTGTCTTCACTCTGTCCCCATCTCTCCTGTGTCCAGAGGAGGGCGGCCTTGGGCTGAGAGCCTGTAGGTCCTGTGTGCAGTCTCAAAGAGAGTCAGGGCTAGGGGCGGCTAAGGAATTCTCCGGAAGGTGGAGATTTGAAAGACAGACCCAGGATTGCGAGGAGTGTGCAGGTTTGAGTCCAGAGTCTGAGGGACGGGTTTGGGTCCTGCATCCTCCATGGCCTGTCCCTCAGCCCTTTTCCAGACATGTCAGCTCCTTCCTCCTGCCCCTGAGGCAAGGACGGAGCCTCCCCCAAGGGGGTGGGGAAAAATGAGGGCTGGACCTATGGGGGAGCTGGGGGGAGGATGAGGTCAGATGGGGACCCCTCCCCCCACCATGCTGCCATCCCACGATCTCAATGGAGGCATGAAAAACACCAAGAATATATTTGACAAATTACCAATTTATTTTGTAGACGTGTTCCCCAGAAAGATACATTCATATTCATTGGGTAGACGGGAGGAAAATGTATTTTGCTTTTCCCCCCTTCTTCCCCCTGCTTCTCTTCTCTCCCCGCCAACCCCATTTCTCCCTCCCTCCCTTCGTATCTCTCTTTCTCCCTCCTTTCTCTGTTACCACATAGCCAACTGGCTGCTTCCAATCACTGACTTCTATTCTGTTCTGCCTTTTACCTCTACGTTATTATTATTATTATTATCATTATTATTTGGCCTCGCAGTTTGTGGGATCTTAGTTCCCCAACCAGGGATTGAACCTGGGCCCTCAGCAATGAAAGCATGGGGTCCTAACCACTGGACCGCCAGGAAATTCCCACTGTCCACCTTCTTTTTTCTTTCTGCTTCACCAGAGCTGACCACCCCCCAGCTCCCAACTCCACCAACCACCTGAGATCCTCGTCATCATCAAGCACAGCCTCTTAGGGACCTGTGGGAGAATTTCTCTGGGAAACACACCCAGGAGAGCTTGACACAGAAGCAGGTGCCATGGTGGTTGAGGGTCATCTCTGGGGCCAGATTCACCTGTGTGGACTTATCTCTCCATCACTAGCTGCTTGGCCTAGGGCAAGCCATTTAACCTCTCTGTGCCTCAGTTTCTTCATTCATATAATGGGAACAAGGGCAATAGTACTTTGTGTGGGTGGTGTGAGGAATAAATGAGTTAACTTGTGTAAGGTGCTTAGAACAATGCCTGGCGTATAGTAAGTGCTCATTAAGTGTCAGTGACTGTCACCGCCCCACAGGATTGATTTGATTTCCACTCCTCTGCCAGATGGCTGTGTCCCCCCCGTGTGTGCACGAGGGTTGCCCTGCCCTTGGTGTTGTCCAGCTTTCTCATTTTCAGTCTGTCCACTGTTACCTCTTGTTTCTCTCAAATCTTGTTTATCCCTGATGGTGGATGATGGGGACTCCCATACCTCAGACAGCCTGGTGATGAAGACCTCAGAGCCAGGGCAGGGGGGAGTTAGATGGCTGAACTGGGAGGAAAAGAGGGAAATGGGAATTGTGAACATTTATTCTCTAGAAGACAGGCTCTCTCCTTCCCTTGGGCCAACTGCTTCAGTGCCAAACCTTCATTCAGACTTTGAACCCAGCCCCTCCCTATCTGGGGATCCTAGACAAGTCACTTCTCTCTGACCTCATAGATGACCTGGTTCCTAGGTATTTTCCCAAGAGAAGTGAAAACATGTTTGCATAAAGACTTGTACA